CTGCCTCGGGCTGCTGGGCCTTCACCTCCTCCCACCTCTTCCTCCTAGGCTCCCGCTAATCCTTCCACCCCTGAAGGAGCCACTCCTATCGTGGTCAGTAAAAACAGCTGCATCACATGCTATCTGAGGGACCCCTGTTACTCCATGCATACCCCATATAGTTGCATGCAGCACCCCACTCCTGGCGCTGCCCCTAGCCTCAGAGTCCTGGCTTTGGCGGGGGATGGGGATAGTACTGCCCACCCAAAGTCAGCGGAGGGGCTCCCAGCACCCCCAGGACAGCCCTCGTGGCAAGAGAGCAGCGCTGTGAGGGCAGAGTATGAGCAGGCCAGGGAGGGATGCAGGGGGCAGCAGCGGCCCCAACTGGCTTATGAACCGGGGTCGGGGGTGCCATCAGCCTTGCTTCCCACCTGGACAGGAGCAGCGCAGGGGTCTGAGGGCTTGACCTTCCTGTCAGAGCTCGTCCTCAGAGATGGTGCAGAGTCAGGCAGCCAGGGCTGTGAGGACCATTCATACCCATGGGCACCCGCTGTGCGGGAGCAGGGCTGGGAGGCCTACGTCCACCCCTGCTGCTGGCCCTACGACGGTGGTGAGTTCCCTGCCCTCCTTGGCTCCTGCTTGCTCCGGACACACTGCCAGGACTCAAAGGGAGAACCTCGAGGAGGGTGCACAGGCAGCTACGCTCGCCTCGGCGTTGCGCTTGCAGCTTGAGCAGATGCTAACCCTGCCCTCGTGCAGGGTGAGTGGGTCCCTAGACATTCTGCAGTAAACGGGGTCTTTCCACTCCCTCTGCAGGGTGGGGCGGCGGAGGCTGTCAGCCTGCGCCAGTGTGGCCTGCCAGTTAGCCCCTTGCAGCCCACGGGGCCTGCCCTGGGACCCTGGCCTGGGACCCTGGCCTCAGGCTTCCCTCTTGCACCCCCAGGGTCTGGCATACACACAGCCTCATCCCTTGAGGGCCACTGTCCGAGGATGAAGCGAGTTCTTTGTCTGGAAGCAGCTCTGAGGACGCAGCATGTGGGGCCCTCCTCGGCCTTCCTGGCCTGCTCAGCCCCCAGGGGCTGTCACGGTCTGGGCAGGAGGCCTCGAGGCAGTGATGGATGCTCCTGGGGCTGAAAGGGCTGGCTCAGGCCTCTACCCGGCAGGCTGCAAGCCCAGCAGGAGAGGTGCTGCCTGAGTGGGTCTGGTGGGTTCAGAAGACCAACCAGTCACCTGGGGCTACTCTGGGTAGTAGAGGTCTCAATCCCCTGAGCCCAGCAGTTGGATGAGGTAGATAGTGGAGCACTAACCTAGAGGCTACCCTAGCCTCCTCTGGGGTTGCAGAGGAGCAGGGTGGAGGGCACAGCACTGGCTGCAAGAGAGCCAGGGGCTACTGCCCACTCCCATGTGTTCACTGGGCATGGACCAGAACAGAGGCCCTACCCTCTCAGGGCTCAGGCCACGACCAGGCCCCAGCTTTGCCATCGTGCTGTGCTGTGGTGGTAGAGCTCAGAGAACGCAAAAGGTTGCAGTCAGGGAGGGCTTCCTAGAGAAGGCCTCAGTAGAGGCCCACAGCAGGA